ATGAAAGATTCATCATTTATGTTAGCATTGTTTATTCCCGACCCTAAAACACCTAAAATGGACATCGATGTTTTCCTTAGGTAGTTTATTGAGCAACTCGACGAGTTGGTGCTACAACTCGCCGAGTAGAGTCGGGTGTGGCCATGTGGATTAATGATCTACTCAACGAGTCCGAGAGTTGACTCGCCGAGTAGGCGCTGTGAGAGGAAACCCTAAATCTTCAGGTTCATGGCCTATATAAGGACACTTATAGCCTCATTTGTGGCTCCCCATCTACTTCCCTTCACTGAGAGAAACCCTAATCGCCCCTTGTGCTTTTGAGAGAGTATTAAGGCATTATTTGAGAACCTTGGTGCCTTTTTGATAGAGAAGAGGAGGATTTCAAACAAGGATTGTGCAGAGGCTATTAGATTTGTTGCTAAACATCCAAGAGCTTCTGTTTAAGGTATCAAGTTCGTACCTTTTTCATTGTATGGGTAGATCTCCTGATTTTAGAGTTTAGGGCTTCATTTCCATCTTATTTTGGCACCTTGAAGATTTTGACCACCTTTTTAGTCATGGACATCAGATCTGGACCTTGTGAGGTCCCTAGAGTCGAAAGTCTTCCACTTTATTCATCCATGTTAGCTCCTTGGATGAGAAACTTCTTCACAAGCATATTCTTGGCATTTTTAGCCCTAAAGTGCCATGCATGAACGTAAAGCTTGTGGCTTTACGTGATATTCAAGCCTTGAGATCTTAGATCTAGAGTGTGAGAGAGTTTTCTGCTTAAAATCGACTGAATGGGATTTGAGTATGAATGGACTCACCGAGTCAAGGAGCCGACTCGACGAGTCGGATAGGGTTGTCCTGATGGTTTTGATCGTGCAGCAACTCGGCGAGTTGACGGGTTAACTTGGTGAGTTGAGCCGAACGTTTGAGTGATTCTGTGGATGGCGAGCAGACTCGTCGAGCCCCATAGGTGCACTTGACGAGTAGGGTTAACATAGACTGTTGACTCAGGTTCAACTTCTGTTGACTTAGAGTTTGGTCAACCTTGTCTTTGGGAAACCATGGAGGGGTAAAAAGGTCTTTTTCCCACTAAGTGTGTGTGTGTGTGTGTGTGTGTGTGTGAGAGAGAGAGAGATAACTTAGTAAATGTGTGATATAAATAGTTAATTAGATATAATTATCTTATGAGATTAGGCGGAAGCTAGATTTGTGTGATTCATGTGCAAGAAGTATTCTTTCATTTAACTTACTTCAAGGTGAGTCTTCTCACTATACTTTACCTAAGGTAGTATTTACATGTGACCAGAGTTTCGTATGTGCTTACTTGAGTTATGCATCTGTATGTGTGATATATATGCTATATTATGTGTTATTGAGACCGGTCTGGAGGGTTCAACAAGCTATGAGACCGGAAGGTCCTCACTGAGACCGAACCAGAGGGTCCAACCAGCCATGGGACTGGAGCGTCCCACTGAGACACATAGACCGGAGGGTCCTATAGAGTTATAGCCTTGAGTGGCTAATGTTTTGTATGTGGTATTTTGGAGAACTCACTAAGCTTCGTGTTTACTGTGTTATGTGTTTCAGGTACTTCTGAGGATCACGGGGAGGCACCGGCTTGATTGTACACACACATCTAAGCTGGAGATATATTTACTTTAGATCTTGGATTCATGATAAACTTTTTTTTTAATATGTATTGATATTTGATACTTGTGTTTTTGGTGAAAATATGTCATGTGTTTTATTGTGTTTGAAAAGAAATGAAAATTTTGGTTTGAAAATTTACCGCGTTACACTCAGGCGTAAGTATTAAAGAAGCAGTGGCATTCAGATTCTTCACGATGAAAGCTATGTTGTTATGGACAATAAATATGACATCCACTATTTTTCAGAACCAAACAAACTTTTCTTTACACTTTAAAGCCATTGTATTTTTGTTTGTAAAAAATCTCAGTATAATAAAACATTTTGCTAAAACTGTTTAGTTATATCATGATATCTTTGAATTAAGATGTTTTTTTCAAACTAAAAAAACTCTAAGGATGTAATAGTCA